TCTTAGATTTGTAATAAAAAATGTTTTTAAACTAGAGAATAACTTTTAAATAAATTTAAAATAGATATTTACTTTTAAAGGAATTTAAAATAGATATTTATTTTTAAATGAATGTAAAATAGAAATTTATTTTTAAATGAATTTAAAATAGATAACTATTTTTAACAACTCGAATTCCGAAACGTTTTTTTGTAAATTTATTTTCTTATTATATGAACAGCAAAATTAATATTATATAATAATATTTATTTCAAAATCATGAATGTAAGATCAGCATATTAAATTACTATGCCACGGCTGTTTTTACAAAGTGAGACGGGTTACAACAAAGTCTTTTCTCATTAGAGCCGGTTTTAACTTTGGTTAAGCTTGTTCGTTCTATAATTTATACTAGCTTTCTACAGTCTTTCTACAGACATAAAAGTCTGATAATCTTTTATCTCATCATTTATCTACTTTTTGTTTTACATACATGCTAACTCAAATAAATGACAATAAAAAAAAGCTTAGGTCTCACAACGAAACATTTAATATTAATATTTTAAATCAAAAGCTCCCAATATAAACTTGTTTTTGTGTATTTGTTTAATTAGTCTCTTAATAAATAATCAAATAAAACAGGCTAGCAAGCAAACTAAAATTAGCTTGTTAACTTTTTAAAGTTAAGTATACCATAAGTAAAGTTAAAGTTAAGAATACAGTAAGCTGTTAACAGAAATACAGCAGATCATCATAAACATGTTAACATAAACTCAATCATGAACTGGATAATTAGGTTTTATAAAACAATTAAAATTATTTGGCAAAAAGTTGATAAAACAATTTTTTACTACTCTTTGCTAAAATTATATTCATCGATCAAATTTAAGTTTTGTCGTACAAACTCTTAGCGTTTAAAAACTATGACCAATTTGTAACCTCCTTAAATTTTTCCATACTTTATATGGTCATAATTTTGGAACGCTGAGAGATTTTAATATAATATATGAAATTTATTTGAGAACTTAGTTAAGAACAGTAGTTTTATGTTTTAGGTGCCCCAAGAAGACCTAACGGTCTTGTCACAGAGTGCGACGAAAAAAGATTTAGCTGGGAAATTCTCACCTCCTTCTTTACCAATGGCGCAAAATGTTCCCAGAGCTTGCTTTGATTTTTTAACACTAGTAGATAAGTTAGTAAACATAAAAGTATTTTAATTAAAATACTTTGAAAGAAGCCATAACAATAATAAAAATGCTTAAGTGAGAAAAACTACATAAAAAATGAGCCATCAACCAAAAAGTATTGCTTTACCTTCGGAAAGTTGGATTAATAAAAAGCTATTTATTTTTTTAAAAAGAAAACGACCTAAAAAATCAAATCCAAAACATGTTCTTCAAAACATTGTATCAGTTATTTTACTGAGTTAGAGAATGATCAAATATTGAATAGAATGATTTGGCACCCCCAATTATCAGATCTCTCCTATCAAACTTTTAAGAGATAAATTAAAAGTAATATCAAAAACTAGAGTCTACTGGTGCCAAAAGATTCTGAAAGACGTATGAAGGAATAGCATAAAATTAATTTCTATAAATTGGATAAGTCGTTAAGCAGATAACTGTATAGCGGTTATTGCCGCTAAAGATGATTAAATTGGCAAGCAAACTATAAAGATGATTAAATTGGCAAGCAAACTATAAAGATGATTAAATTGGCAAACAAATTATAAACTAATCGTTAGATTAGTTTATAATTTGTTTGCCAATTAGTTTTGTTATTTTTATGAAGACTAATTAAATAAAAAGATAAAATATAATTCAGGTAGATTTGTTTTCAGTTTTTCTCCAAATATTAAGTAAAACTTTGATATCTTATATTAAAAAGTAACACCATTCGAATAATGAAATTAGTGTTTTTTAAGAGTGAATTTGCTAAAGAAGTTTTGAGCAAATTTGCCCTTTTGAAAAACACTGATTCAATTATGAACGGTAGTGTACATAATACAACTGTTTATACAACTTGTTTATAAAGTTGAAGCAAAAATATTTTTAAGTATGAAATAAAAGATCTTTTTTTAGACAACTTGTAGTTATTGATCTTATTAGTAAATATACCTGTTATTTTTAGCAACCATACCTGTTATTTTAGCAACCATACCTGTTATTTTTAGCAACCGCAGATGTTATTTTTAGCAGCCATACATGTTACATTTAGCAACTAGACACGGTATTTTTAGCAACCATACATGTCATTTTAAGTAATTGTATATGTTAATTTAGCAACCATACCTGTTATTTTAATTGTATATGTTAATTTAGTTATAAATTTAATAATAATAAACAATAATTTTAACAACCATACATAATGTTTTTCAAAAATAAACTAAGAAAAATTATTTTTATAACAGGCAACACAATAAAGTTATTTGGAGGTTTATGTGAGCACGTAAAGAACAACCCCCTCAATTTGAGGGGGCCACAAATTTTACATGGTCTTAAAAACTTAACACTGAATAATTTAAAAATAAAATTTGAAATCTGTTGATGAATACATAACTAGTTTACATTTATGAAAAAATAAATAATTCAACTCATTGCCCTCACGTTTAGGTTAGAGGGGCTAAGATTTTAGGGTTTCTTGTTCCCATTCTCCTATTACAGTAATTTTTTTGGTAAAAAATCTTTTTGTCATACATTTGAACGTAAAAAAAAATTGGAATATTCTTCTTGTTTAAATGTTGGTTATTTCAAATATTTAAAAACCTTCTTACGCCATTGAGCACACGTATGTGTTTTTTGTAAGTATAAGTATGTGTTTTTCTGTGAGAAAATGTATGTTGCTTTTGTGAGCATACGTATGTGTTTTTTTTTCTAATCATTTATGTATAGGTAATAAACTGATTATTTAAAAAAGCTTTTATATAAAAAAAACTGTGCAATATTTGATTAGTATAACCAAATTTTATGGGTTAACTGTTTAACAATATTATCATATTGTCAAACGATTTTTAGTGACAGGATCCTTCTTATATTTTTTGTCTACAACGATATTATACCAAACATATTATTGTAAAAGTTGTATTATTATTATTGTAAAAGGAACAAATAAAAAAAAAACGCTTTTCTCTACTTAATGTTCCTTAAAGAAAAATAAGTAGAAACAAATTTTTAAAGAAAAAGATAAAATTTTTGAAGGATTATTTCATTAATTTCGAGTTACTAGAAAAAGAGGACAAATTTAAAGATTGGTTAGTGTGTAAGCCATTTACTCATACCAACAAATGCAGATAATTTGGGTGGGGTGGCAGGTGATACGGGTAAACTGTTAATTAGCTTTATTTTTACAGATTTTTGCCAAATTTAATTATTAAGAAGAAGACTTTGTATAAATAAAATAAATTTGAGTAAAACATAAGTTGAATTAATATATATTTAATAATTATATTGTAATAATTTATAATTTATACTGAATTAATATAATAAAATAAATTTGAGTAAAACAATAAAAAAAAAAAAAAATTTAAATCTTGCGTTACTTAATTGGAATTTATGTTGACTTTATAACTTTTTTTCATGTTTAATTTAAGATTAATACAAATTATTTATTGATGTCGATATACGCGGCAAATCCCATCTTATATTTGGCGTGCCCAACGCAATAAATGTAATACGGTAAGGTAGATTAAGGTAAAACGAGCACTAAGTATGAACATATCAAAAAATTTCTAAGATACACATCTTAGTGAAATCGTAGTGAAATTCAAGCTGCTTTGTATCTTTTAAGTTTAATTTATGAGGTGAAAACAAAAAGCAGTATAATTAGCTTCAGTTTATATGCAGTAATTAGCGGCTCTCGTATAATCAAAGCGCTATTTAATTTTTTGTTTTGTTAAAATACATTATCATTACACATGAAAAAATCTGTGGCGCGAAATTTTGATGTTGAAATAAAGATATTTACTTTTTCATAAAAAAAAAATATGTTAGTTAGAAATCCATTTCAATTTTGTTTGGAAAACAATGGATAAAAATATTTAATTTTGATTTTATTTAAAGATACTATTTTCATGTAATAGGAGCATGCTCAAAATACCCAGTGTTTTTTAATGAATTTAAACTTAGTTTAAAGCCCTAAAATTGCAGAGGTTTTAATTTTTTTTAATAAAAACAAAACTTAGAAAAACTAATATTATAACCATACTTAATATCTTCCTGTTGTGTAACTTTAAAAACTTTGCATTTTTATTTTTTAAAAGTTTGAATTAATAAATATAAAACTTTTTTTTTTGTTTTATTTTGGTGTAAAAACAAAGTAGTATTATTTCAGTAAAGAGTGGCTTAAGATTTGATTTTTTAATGATAAGCTTTGCTAATAAATAATTTTTAAATTCCACAAATTAGTTCTAATTATCAGGCTGATATTCCTTTACTTAATTTATGCTATTTTTTTGTGCTGGTTTAAAGTGCTCATCTTATCAAGTGGTCTGAGTAGTGTAAGTAATTTCGGTACTTTTTTAAAACCTCTGTATTTTTTTAAAAAAAAATTTGGGTTCTCAAAAATCTAAGTGAATAATGAGAAATGATTTCTTAAAGTTGTTTATTTGCAAAAATTATGGAACCAACTTAGTTATTTTTGAAAAATTTTGCTCATTATATTCCAATTTACTTTATATAATATATATATATATATATATATATATATATATATATATATATATATATATATATATATATATATATATATATATATATATATATATATATATATATATATATATATATATATATATATATATATATCAATGTTTATCACTGGTATTTTAGCACAGGTGAAAAATGACCAATAATAAAAAGCATGGTGTAGGAAAACAGAAAGAGAACTTATTTTCATACCCATCCTGTTCTCTTTTAACTACCATATAACTATTTTACCCACCATTATAAGTCTTAACTTCATAAAATATTTAACCAAAATGTTTTTAAAAGATTAAAATAAATCTAAAAAACATTAAAACTTACGACAAAATTTTTGAAAATAACATCCCAAGAATCATCAGCTGATATAATATTATTTAACATAGATTTAAATTTTGAGCGGCGTCTACCAAATGCAGCTTTTTTAGGATTATGAGGAAAGCTTGCTCTTCGTTGTTCATTAATTTTTTGAAATTGTTGACTGTTTAAAAACGATACGCTGTTACCACGAATTCTACCATTTGTTGGGCTATTTGGAATTTCCATCAATTTGGCGTTTGATGCACTTCGAAATGCGGGCGGAACATTTGAAAAATGTTCAGCAGAACTGTCTTTTTGGCCAAACATTTTGTTAAAAATAAACTGAGTGAAACGTTTGTGTAAGCCCTGTGTTTCTTCAAATTCTATTTGTAATGATTCCCGCCGTGTTCAATAAAAAAAACAACAAAACATGTTTTTTATAACAAATCAAAAGAACTTAAAGTTTAAAGAAAAACGAATGAAAAATTCATTCATTAAAACTGCTGAGTATTTTTCATTTCATTTATTGGAACACTGTGCGCATTTTTTTATCATTCTCTTGTGATTACAATTCTCCAATGATTACAATTTTATAAAAATAAACTTGATAGAAACACAAATATTAAGTAGATTAGCGACTGTCAAGCACAGATGAAAAATGAAGAAACACGAACAATACAAAACGCAAACAAAGGATAATTTGCTAGCTAAACACATCCAATTGAAAGCATTGCCAAATACGTAAACTATTTATGGCGAGTTATAGCGATATTTAAGTAAATATGAAACTCACCAACGCGAACACTACAGACAGCAGACATGCGTGTGGTAGACACTATGAAAAGAACCTGAGATTGAAATCTACAGATAACATTTTGAAACAATGACGTCGTAAAATAACAAGACATCTTGTTACAGATTTTATTAAACAAGCGTTAACATTGCCGACTAAAGACACAATATAAATACTGCGCTGGATATTTTATTCAATTTTCAAACTTAAACAAGAAAATGAGTGGTTTAATAAAATGAAACAGGTTTTTACAAGCGAAATGATTTCTTTTAAACTTTGCGCAGAGCGCAGCTTAATGCGCAGTCAACACAGTATTTTGCGTAAAATATTATAAAAATTAATAAACAAAGAAATATTCATTTTTATTCTTCATTGATAAATCTTCATCACCAAATCATCTTTTATTCATCAAATACATTTGTTTATAAAAGCAAATAAGTTTTACAAGCTTTAGAAAAAGTGAACAACAAAACGAAAGTTTTCGTAAAATCAATATTTGATCTTAATTACTCAAGTCCCAATATTTATAATGGCTAATGAAAAATCGTTTCAATACAATTCAAATAACAAGTGACAACTTAAAGACATACAATTTAATGTATTAAAGTTTTTAAATCTGATAGTTATTTAATAGCCAAAAGCAATATATTTTTAAACAAATGTGTTTTAAAGGAGCTTTCAAATAATAGATTAAAATGGAAATCTTTCATATGTTATATATAGTTAACAACTTCACAAAATACAATGTGTCGTTTTTTTTAACAGGGCACGGTTTAAATTATGTCGTGTAAAGATAATAATATAATCCTTACGAGAAAAAAAGGTCTATTTACGAAATTAAATGCATTTTAATAAACGTTTCGGTTATTACAAAAAAAAAACAAACTATTATTATGTATAATGATAGTAGTAACAATACTTATTAAAATTATAACAATAATAAACGCATCGCTCATTATGAATAAATTAAAAACAAACAAAAATAAAACAAAATTAAAAAAGACAACAAAAAACAAATTAAAAAACAAATAGATAAAAAAAGAACACGCAACAGGGTGTTTTATTTAGAACACTCCGTAAGTAAACCTTGCATAATTTTCATTTTTTTACTTTCTACGCTTATGCAATGCAGTCAATCGTGCTAAAGTGAAAAAGTCAGATTATTCGCGCAAACTCTTTCTATTTACAAAACTATGAATACTTCTTATTTTATAGAAAAAAAAAAAAGTGAAATCAATGTTTAAAAAAAAAAGAGGTTTTAACATTTTTCTTTGCCAAACAAACGCTTAGCTTATCTTAAAACAAGTTTTGTTAACTATTAACATTACTCATAATTACTCTAGAGGGTGGTGGCTTAATATAGCAGACCGCCAATACTATATCTAAATAATATTTTGTATTATTAAAATTATTTTTGTATCAATATATAACAATACTAGGCAATTAGTATATTGTGTATGTATAATAAAAAAACACTTTAAAATTAATCAAAGTCATAAAATCTTTTGTTTGTTTATTAATTTAAATTTAGAGAAATTGTGCATCGATCGAACAACATTGTAGTTAACGATTGCCTGATATATTATCCGAGTAGTGAATAACATCAGCGCTAAGGGTCAGGAGTTATACTAGAAATAAAATGAGGGGGGAGGAGGATCCATAAAACTAATTGTTTTCTTAAAAAAAAAGTCCAAAAAACAAAAAATCTACCAACTTACTTGATTACTGGTAATATACTAATTTCTTTTAGCCTAATCTATTCAAAAAAATGAAAATGTTGTAGAGTGCTAGAGGAAAAAAAAAAAAATTTTTATTGTATTATAAATTTTATCAAAGAATTTTATGCAATAAAAATAATACTTTTATAGCAATTAAAAAGTTTTGAATATTAAATAATAACATAAACTGAAAGGCAATCAAAGATGGTCTGGATGGGTGAAGGATGAATAAATCAAAGTAGATCTGGATGGCTGAAGGATAAATAAAACAACGAAGTTCTGGCAGGCTATTTCATAGAACCCCTACAAGTATCTTTCTTAAAAATCATAATCAAATTTAGTAATAAGATTTTTTTTAAATATAATGTTTAAAAAATTAAAAAAAAAAAAAAACATTTTAAAAGCAATTGTTTTAAAATAATTAATTATTTTACTAAACTTAAGCCCTAAGCATCTGCGTCCCAAAAAAAAAAGAAGATACAAAATAAAACTGTAAAACTATATTGTTTTGATAAAATCAAATAGAAACAAAAACAAAATAAATTTTTCTAGTTTTCTGATATACAATAAAAAACAAAATAGATTTTTTTTGTTTCTTCAAAACGTTAGAAATAATAATTATTGTTTTTTCCAAAATATAATGAGACCACGGTTCAGGTAGTTTGTAAACCAAAACGGATAACAAATGTCTGCAAGTTCAAAATTAAATTTTAAATTTGAAAATAAATACTTATCTTATAACTTTTACGTTTAAAATTTTCTATTGCGTTTTTAAAACCCCTTAAAACAAAAAAATAACATGTGTCAGGAATAGGGTTTTAATTACGTGAAGTTATCTATTACTATTTACCAAAGCATCAATTAGGATATTAGGTTATTTTTAATGGTTTCACCGTTACGGAAACGTAGTATAATAACAAAATAAGTTTCCGTAGAAAATGTGAAACCAATAATAAAAGGATGCGATATTTAAATTTGACTTTATAACCGCATAAAACTCGAGTAAAGCTGGGCATAAAATCAACGTTTTGATTTATTGAAAAAATTTACGCCTCTTGAAAAACACGTGTCTTTACGGGTTTCCGAAAAATAAAAATAGATGTACCGGCTGGGAAGTATTATTTCTGAAACGTTTAACCCAGAATGAATTTTTAATCCGAAATAAGTACTTAATCAAATATTTAAATAACAACCACAAACACCCTGTAAGTTATTTTTTGGCAATGGAGTTTGTAATCTCAATTAGAGGATCAAAATTATGTTATAAATCACTAACAAATGAATTTAAAACATTCATAGAGATAAATAAATTTAATGAAAAATTGAGGAATAGATTACTTGGAACAATACACTATATATCTACTTACTGATGTTGAGCGAATATCAGCTTATAACTATTTAATCATATATGAAAAATATTTCTATTCTGTTTAAAAAAAAAAAAGTTTAATGTAATAGCGCCTACTTGCATTATAATTTTTTTTTTTCGAAATTTGAGTTAACACATAAATTTTTAGTTATTAAATCTTAAAAGAAAATTAATGTTTCAGTTTTAATAACGCTGTTTATAACGCTTACTTTCTTCTATTAATCGGGGAAGATAAGGCAAAAAGAACGTTATGAAAATCCTTAGTTTTTGAAAAAATAGAAGAAAAAAAAAAATTAAAGACGGTTTACGCTAATAAAATGCGGTAAATCACGCCATCCTAATTAGGAAAATGGAAAAATATAAGATAAAAGATGTTGCCCTTAATTGGTTCAAAAGTTTTTCGCATAGCAGAAAACAATGCGTTTATGCTCATGAAAAAAATACTCAAAGTTACTAGAAATAAAATGCGGTGTCCCCCAAGGTTAATTTTTGCGCCTCTCTTATTTTTAATATACATTAACGATATCCCTAAAGCCTCAAGTAAACTAGATTTTATAATGTTTGCAGATGATGCTAATTTATTTTTATGCATCCACAACAGAACTTTATGAAACTACAAATACTGACTTGAAAAATTAAACAATTGGTTTAAATTGTACAAGTTATCTCTAAACACAAAAAAAACAAAATACATTCTTTTTCATTCTAACCTAAAAAAAATATCATTTAATTTACCTAAATTGAGAGAACCTAAGCAACTTCATTTTTTGGGATATTTATCAATGAGAACATCTCATGGAAAGCGCATATAGCCTATATGCGCTTTCCATTTTTTATATTTTGGTATTTAATATACCTATACTATAGGTATATTAAATACTAAAATATAAAAACATTGGAATCCAATCTACAAAGCTAGTTCTATACTGTCTCCTGAAAATTTAAAACTCCTATATTTCTCATTCATACAAAGCTCTTATATATACGCTAATGTTGCATGGGCGAGTATTCACAAATCCAAATTGTATACACTTTATCGAGAAAAAAAATATGCTATAATATTATAAAAAAAAAATGTTTATATATATATATATATATATATATATATATATATATATATATATATATATATATATATATATATATATATATATATATATATATGTATATATATATATATATATATATATATATATATATGTATATATATGTATATGTATATATATATATATATATATATATATATATATATATAATATATATATATATATATATATATATATATATATGTATATATATGTATATATATATGTATATATATGTATATGTATATATATATATATATATATATATATATATATATATATATATATATATATATATATATCTCGAAGTGAGAAAGTGATATGTTGAGGCTCGAAGTGAGAAAGTGATATATATATATATATATATATATATATATATATATATATATATATATATATATATATATATATATATATATATATATATATATATATATATTTATATATATATCACTTCCTTCAATCATCGCAATTTTTTTCAAAGCTTTTTTATTTGACATAAGCATAAACATATAAATGTTAGGAATTTGGTCCATGTCTGGAAGTTAGATATCTCGAAGACCAAAAAATGCTGGCGCTACCCCTGCTGTTATCTAAAATTTATTTTTTAGACAAAGTGGTACTTTGTTGAGGC